ACTCGATCCCGGAACTCCAGGATCATGACCTGAGCCTTCCAGGACTCCAGGATCATGACCTGAGCCGAAGGCAGTTGCTTAACCAACTGAGCCACCCAGGCGCCCAACAAGCAGTTCTGAGAGGGAAGTTCATAATGATACAGGCCTAGCTTTAGAAATAAGAAAATTCCCAAAATAAACAATCTAATTTATATCCAAAGCAACTAGAAAAAGAGGAACAAAACCCAAAATTAGTAAAAGGAAGAAATAAGAAAGACGAGAGCGGAAATAAATGAAATAGAGATTAAAAAATATATAAAGAAATCAATGAAACTAAGAGTCGGTTCTTTAAAAAAACAAAACAAAACCTTTAGCCAGATTCATCAAGAAAAAATAGAGGGCCCAAATAAATAAAATCAGAAATGAAAGAGGAGAAGTACAACAGATACCACAGAAATACAAAGGATCATAAGAGACTTCCACAAAAATTATATGTCAATGAATGAAACAATCTAGAAGAAATGGATAAATCCTAGAAACACAAAACTTTCCAAGACTGAATTACAAAGAAATAGAAAATCTGAACAGATTGATTACTAGTAGTAAAATTGAATCAGTAATCAAAAACTCCCGAAAAACAGAAGTCTGGGACCAGAAAGCTTCACAGGTGAATTTCACTAAACATTGAAAGAAGAGTTAATACCTATCCTTCTCAAACTATTCCAAAAAATAAAGAACAAGGGACACTTTCAAACTTATTCTATGGGTCCAGCATCACCCTGACACCAAAACCAAAGACCCCACAAAGAAAAGAAAGACCACAGCAAAGAAAATAAAAAAAATAAAAATAAAACAAAAACAAGGGGTGCCTGGGTGGCTCAGATGGTTAAGCGTCTGCCTTCGGCTCAGGTCATGATCCCAGGGTTCTGGGATCGAGTCCCACATCGGGCTCCCTGCTCCTTGGGAGCCTGCTTCTCCCTCTGCCTTTCTCTCTCTCTGCCTCTCTCTCTCTCTCTCTCTGTCTCTCATGAATAAATAAATAAAATCTTTAAAAAAAAAACAAAATAAAATAAAACAAAAAAAATAAAACTACAGGCCAATATCTTTGATGAACACTGATGCAAAATATCAGCAGCAAACAATCTTAAAACTTGTATGGGACCACAAAAGGATCCGAATAACCAAAGCAATCTAGAGAAAAAAAGAACAAAGCTGGCATTATCACACTCTCAGATTTCTAACTATACTACAAAGCTCTAGTAATCAAAAACAGTATGTTGCTCTCACAAAAACAGACACTTAGATCAATAGAACAGAGAGTCCAGGAATAAACCCATGCTTACATAGTCAATTAGTCTGTGACTAAGGAGGGAAGAATATACAATGGGGAAAACATAGTCTCTTCAATAAATGATTCTGGGAAAACTGGACATCGACATGCAAAAGAATGAACCCAGACTGCTTTCTTACACCACATACAAAAGTAACTCTCAATGGACTAAAGACCTAAATGTCAAGACTGGAAAGGATAAAGCTCCTAGGAGGACACATATGCAGCACACTCTTAGACATCAGTCTTAGCAATATCTGTTTTGGATTTATCTCCTCTGGGAAGGGCAACCAAAGCAAACAAATGGGACTACACAAAACTGAAAAATTTTGCACAGCAAAGAAAACCATCAGCATAGTGAAAAACAACTTATTGTATGAGAGAAGATATTCACAAATGATATAATTGTTAATTGGTTAATATTCAAAATATATAAAGAACTCACACAGCTCAATATTAACAAAAAACCAAAATAATCAAGTTAAAAAAATGGTCAGAGGACCTGAACAGACATTTCTACAAAAAACACCAAATACAGATGGCCAACAGATACATGATAAGATATGCAACATTACTAATCATTAGGGAAATGCAAATCAAAACAATGAGATACCACTTTATACCTGTCAGAATGGCTAGTATAAAAAAAAAGCAAGATATAACAAGTATCGAAGAGGATGTGGAGAAAGAGGAAAACTTGTGCACTATTGGTGGAATGCAAAATGGTATAGCCACCATGGAAAACAGTATGGAGTTTCCTGAAAAAATTAAAAATAGAACTACCATGTGATCCAGCACTTCCACTTCTGGGTATTTATCTGAAGAAAACAAAAACACTAACTTGAAAAGATATTTTGCCTCTATGTATATTGCAGCAATATTTACAAGAGTCAAGATACAGATACAACCTGTGTCTATCATACATGAATGAATATAGAAAATGTGGTGTGTATATATATTATATATATATATAAAATATATATATATAATATATACATATTGTAAAGATGTGGTACACACACACACACACACACACACACACACTGGAATATTATTCAGTCATAAAAAGAATAAAATCTTACCATTTGTGACAACATGAATGGACTTGGAGGGTATTATGCTAAGTGAAATAAGCCAGATAGAGAAAGACAAATATTGTATGATTTCACTTATATGTGGAATCTAAAAAACACAACAAAACCCATTCACAGATACAGAGAAGAATCTGGTGGTTGCCAGAGGGAAGAGGGTGGGAGGATGGGCAAAGTAGAGGAAGGGGAAAAAAAGGCACAAGCTTCCAGTTATGAAATAAATAAGACACGGGGATGCAATGTACAACATAGAGAATATAGTTAATTTTTTAGCAACTTTGTATGGTGAGAGAGAGTAGTTTAATTTATCCTGGTGTTCATTTTGAGTAAAGGACAGGTGGGGCTAGGTAGGGAGAGATAGGTAGGGGGCTACTGACCAGGCTCACAGAAGTCCCAGATGAGGAGAAATGTTAGAGATGAAATACTTTCACGAGAGTTACAAACAAAACCAGAGCTAAGGGAACATACGGAGACCACCCTGTTTGTTTTGTTATAGACAAGATATTTTCATGAAAGGTACAAATTGGCCACTGAAATTTACCAAAATTGAAGGGGACATAAACACTGTGTTACCAGTGGTGAGGTCAAGTGCTCTGGTCAGTTTTCTGTAAAAGACCCATCATAAAAGCCCTCAGTGGCAACCCATTAGGGACCCCCCTCTCACCCTAGAGTTTTTTTCTTTCCTTTCTGTTCTCACCTTCGGTTAATAAACTTTCACCTCACCCTTTTGTGTCCAAGAGATTCATTCTTGGACTCCCTGAGACAAGAACCCTGCAACTCTGCAACAACTTCAATAATGTATATATGTTGAATCACCATATTGTACACCTCAAACTCCTATAATATTGTATGTCGACCGTGCTGAAAACTATTTGTTGATTGAAAAAGGTCACATGTTCTGTAGTTTTAATACAACACAGCCAACATGTACATCTCATTTAGGTGTGCATATTAAAATTTTTTATTTTGTCCTTTTCAGCTCTGATTATGATTGACAATTCTTATTATAAGGGTACCATATGCAACCTTTTTGGAAGAAAAAATATTAAAAGATGGCAAAAGCAGGTAAGAGTTAGTGGGAATAAATATTTAGAAGATTGCTACTATGTGACAGACACTATGCTTTATAGTGTAAAGATTTCTTTCAACAGACTCAACAAAATGAAGTTCAGCCAGGTTTAGTTAATTTACCCAAGATCCAACAAAAAAGTAAATGGCTGTGCTGTGTCAGAAACCCAGGTCTACTTGATTCCAAACAGCAAGGCAGTTTTAGTGTTTAGATTCGTAATTCTTACAATTCATAGTTTTGAGAATTAAATGACATAATTGCTTTAAAAAGCACTAGGCACAGTAGCTGGCAGTCAACAAGTGTTGCTCTCACACATGTCTGGAATTGGGTCTATTTAAACAGTAGGGGGAAAAACCTGGCGGAATTAACTTGTTCCAGCTCCTCTAAGAAATGTTCATGTTTGATTACAGTAATCCCATGTCCTTCCTCATACGGAGGCTCGAAAAAATGCCTGGCAATATTTCAAATAATGACTATTTCTTCCCCTGCTCAAGTAAAGGGATTTAGATGTTGTAGTCAGCTGACAGAGGCTAAATGAACCAATGATTTATTTCTGTAAAATATAATTTTTGTGTGTGTGCCTAGCGTTTTGTTTTTCCCACGAACAAATGCTTGTCATTCGTTAAGAACTTTGCAAGGTAAACTACGGGGTTCCCCGGAGGAGCTGGGCCTCTGAGGGTTGAAAGCAAGAGGTCTCTGTCTCTGGGCCTCTGTTTCTTGCCTTGTTTTCTGTTACGTCCCCCAGAACCTGCCGCTCTGCACAGAGCAACACCGCATCGCCCCCGCGGAAAGTGGGGCAACACAGGCTCACAACACAGGCTCACTCTGCTTATGAGCAAAAACTTTGTTTCCCTCTGGGGCGACAAACCATACAAAACGGCCGTCCCAGCTGTGCCGAACTTCAAGGCGAAGGAGTAACCGCAACTCTTCCGGATTCCTTCCTCTTCAGCCTGCTGCACCTGGACGCGGGTGGCGCGCGACTCCTCGGCCCTGACGTCACCGCACCTGGCACCAGCTGGGGTGCCGGGTAGTGAGCCGGGACGCGGAGGGGGCGGGGCAGGGAGAACGAGGGGGTTCTCGCGAGATTTCCCTCCTCCCGGGTCCAGCTCCCCGCACCTTCCCGGCCTCTGTGGGGTCTCCACCTCTGTTTTCGGTGTCGCATTCTAGAACGGCGGTTGTGGAAGGGAGCGGCGGGAGGCGGGCTCCGGGGCTCGGCGGGCTCTCCCGGTTGGAGCCGGCGGCCAGGACGTACTGGCAGGTCCCACCCCTGCTGCGGGAGTGTCCGGGGTTTGGGAAAGCCGCCGTCTGGGCGGGCGGGGGAGGGCCCTCCCGCGCCGCCGCCGCCGCCGCCGCCGCGGCTTCGGCGGAGGCCAGGAGTGAGGAGCCGCCGCTGTAGCTTCTAGCTCGCGGGCCGCGCCGACGGGACTGGCCGGGTAACGCTGCGGGCGGATGGAGGCATCTCTTCACCCCGCCTGAGTCCAGGAGGGGCAGGAGCGGAGCGCGGGGCCCGCCTCCCGCCGCAAGTGCGGCCGCGCGATCTGCCAGAGGAGGAGCAGGGGGCGCCGGGCTTCTCCCCGCGGGAGCCCCCAGCATGGGTAAGAGACTCGCGGGATCTTCTTGCCGCCCGGCCGGACCTTCACGATTAGGGCAGGCGGTTCCCCTTCTAGGTCTCGGCAGGGAGGGACCGGGGTCAGCCCCTTCGCGGCAACACCGCACCCTCTCCACCGCCCCTCCTCGCCCTGCCTTCCACCTTGCTCTTCTCGCAGAGAAATTGGTCGGAGGGCTTGCGGGTGCTTTCTCCTGCGCTCCCCTCCCCGCCTCTTCCTGCCCTCCGGAAAGGTGAGGGAAGGGGGGAGGGGATACCCGGTCCCCTCTCCGCGCCCACTGCCCAGCTAACCTTAGCCTGAACTTCCCTCCCTTCCCCAGCCTCCTCTTTCCCTACCCCCTTCTGGTCGGATGGGGGAGGGTGGTGGAAAAACTTGACAAAGTAGCACTTTTAATTTCTTTATCTTCTGCTAGGCTTTGTATAGATTGGCCTTTTAATAAGTTTTTCGTTTGTTGTTGTTAGGAAAGGTAATTTTTTTTCCTCCGCTAAAACTTTCAAGGGAGGGATGTCTCAAGGACAGGGAAACTTGAGTATTTAATTTGTTTTTACCTAGGCAAGTGTGTTGGCACTTAAATATTAAATCTCTTCCTGAGGACCGAGTTAGGGTTTGATAGGATTTCAGTGTTGAACCCTTTGAGAAGCTGTTTCCTGTTTGGAGTTAGACTTCCTTGCGAGAGGAGAGAAAAGTACAAGGCCTTATACGTTATTTACTATGTGCTTTAAAGTTTTGTTGGGAGCTAGAAAAAGCAGAATGTGTTGCAACCTGGTTTGAAAGGGCGTTTTGTTGAGTAGTGTAACAGTTCTTTTGATAGCACATTTCGGTGCGGGCTAGGCACTCTCTTAATCCTTTAAAAATTAAAAGCAATTGAAAAGAAGTGTGTGTGTGCCAAAATAAATGTGTGCCATTATAAAACATAAATTTGTGCCACCGTCGAGCATAAGCATGTTCTAGAAGAATAATCCCAACTTTGGTTTTGTAGAGTAAATCAGGAGGACTCTATCATTTTTTTGTAGTTGAGAGTTGGTACTCTTCATATCAACACACTGTTAACCGAAATTAATAATTCATGCAGCTAACAAATGATTTAGAAGCAGGACAAATACAGACTACTGCTGATGTGGCACCTTCTGCCCACACGATGTTTTGTGGGCAATGCTTTAAGCACAGTGTTTACAGATCCTCTTTAGCTCTTCTGTATTTTACTAGACTTTCTACTTTTATGTCTTTCAGGTAACTTCTGTACACAAACTATTAAACCTCCAGAGGGTAAAACCTTCGCTGTTTGAACTTTCACATGAATTCCTTTCTAATTGATTTGTTGAGTTTACTGAGTATTTGACGGTTTATTCCTTTATGCATCAAATTATAAAACCACTTTAACTGATTTGGATGAAAATCATACTAAAATATGTAATTCTTGTCTTAAATAGGATGCAGAATATAATTAAACCTTTTGATGGCCTAGGGCCATCATTTGTGACCATCGGTTACTGTGTTGCCTTGAGGGATGTGTTGGATTGTATATAGGACTGTTGATTCGATTCTTTTGCATTTTGATGTTTAAATATTTTGCTGCTTTCCTATTGGATGTTTGTCACTCTGATTAGAACCCCCTTCATTCTCCCTTCTCTAATTTTTCTACAAGTGTGGGAATCATTCAAATTTGTAATTCTGCATAAGGGGAAAGTAAGTATACCTTTACTTAGTGTGTGAGATGTTACCTTGAGGAAAATTAGCGTCGATACTTGGGCATTGGAGTATCTATTTTAATTGTTCAGAGGCCTTTCCTTAGTGACTTCCCTGCTGTGTTCTGGTTAGGCAAGTTGCCACATTAGTTAGGTAAAGTGTGATGTTTGTATGCTCTCAACTTGACTACCCAGCATGTGTTTTGAAGGTTGATTACTTGGCATTTGTAGTTAATTTTTGAAAGGCATTTGTCAGGCATTTCTATATGAATGTATACTTTAAATTTATTGGTCATGTAATGATGCATGTTAAAGTTATCAAAATCATTTAAAAGGAGTTTCTTCTTTAATATAAATTTCATTTGCTTGGTTTTATTATCAGTCTTTATTTCTTATGATTTAAGATGGCAGCTTAAAAAAATATATATGTTATTTTATCCGGTGTGTCACAGAATGAAAAAATCTTTAATTTCTTTGTTTTGAAATAATTTGGATACCTATTAAGTGATGGTTCCTACCATGTGAACTATTTAGGTAGGTAGTATAACTGGAGAGTTAAGAGCAGGGCTCTGGACCGGGACAGCTTAAGGTCAAATCCTGGCTCTTCCACCTATTAGCGGTTGTGACTGAGCAAGTTACTTAACCTGTCTCTGCTTCAGTTTCTTACTCTGTAAATGGAGTAAAAATAACCTCATAGGTTGTTATGGGGATTGGATGAGCTAATACTTGTAAAGTGTTTGGAACATGGCCAGTGTTGATTGCTCTTATTTTCATTTTCAAATGATTTCCCTAATTCTTGCACCAACTTATAAAAACAATTCTCAATTTTTGACCTTTGTTAGAAGCTCATATTGCATTTACAAAATTGGTGGGATAAGATGTTTTGTAGTAATGCAGACATTCATTTTTTTTCCCAGAAATTTAATTTTATGTATCCTTATAAAAATTATGTAGGGACTTTTTTTTTCCAGTATTGATTATATTTTGAAAAAGTCCATTATTGATAGTAAGTTTAGTAGTTTTGGGGAAAGTAAATGGGATGAGTACTAGAAGACTAGTTTCTTTGAATTTTATGTTAAGCTAAAGCACTGCTTTTAGTTTCTTCATATAGAGGAATGCTTAACATATAGAAATTTGAGGTATTCTGTGTGAAAGAATTTGTGGAGAGTTTAGAGATATAGAAAGGCAAAACTTAACTTTTCTTATTCCAGAAATACAGATCTGCATTTTGAAGGGGAAAAGATAGCAAATGGTACAAAGTGTTACAATGTCTGAATTTTTATTTTTGAAAAAGTAAGTGGATTTTAATGATTGAATTTCTGTTAATTTTAGATAAGGTTATGAACTTCTTAGTTCAGGTTGTTTTTTTTTTTTAAGCTCATATATAGCCAGTCAACATGTTTAAATTATGAGGCAGTTTTAATGGACGAAAAAGTGCAATTGGTTTAGAGATGGTCTGTGCACTAGTATAATAGAGTGATTTATTTCCTTATTTTACTTTGTTGCACTATTTGGAGAAAATCTTGACTCATGCAGATAAGTAGTGGCAAATGGAAGTTGCCTGCTAAGGGTTCACCTTTCAGTCTCAGGATTTATTTCGGTTAAACTAATCCAGAACATGAAATAGTCATATTAGGAAATTTTTGTTTCAAATTTGGATCACTAACAAAACTAATAATAAGTTGTATTTGTTTATTACTAAGTACTCGTGATCAGGTTTTCCTGTGTTTCAAACTTTGAATAGTTATAGTTCCATAAAATCCCATTAAGGGTGGAAATTCACACTGATAATATTTTATATTTTCCTGTGGAAACTAGCCTGATCTATGCCATATACTTCTCTAAATGAGTTTACAAAGTAAAATGATATCACATTAACTTAATAAGATCTAAATTTTAAGGCATTTGAGATAAAAACAAAGTTGTAAAACATGAAGTGCTTTTGGTTCATTCCATTTGCTAATCAAAAATGCCTCCAAATTTTTATTTGTACGTAATCCAGATCTGTGATTATGTTTTTGTCCTCTTTTCTGTGATGGAATATCTTTGTGAAATGTATTTTGATCCCAAATCAGTCAGTGTGATACATCCTATCAATAAATGAAAGGATAAGAACCATATTATCATTTCAATAGATGCAGAAAAAGCATTTGACAAAATACAACATCTATTCATGATAAAAACCCTCCACAAAGTAGGTTTATCAGGAACATACCTGAACATAATAAAAACCATCTATGAAAAACCACAGCTAACATCATCCTGAATGGGGAAAAATTGAGAGCTCCTCCCCTAAGGACAGGAACAAGACAAGGAAGGATGTCTACTCTCACCACTTTTATTCAACATAGTCCTGGAAGTCCTAGCCACAGCAATCACACAACAAAAAGAAATAAAACGCATCCAAATTTGTAAAGAAGAAGTAAAACTTTCCCTATTTGTAGGTGACATGATATAGGAAACCTGACTCTACCAAAAAACTGCTAGAACTGATAAATGAATTCAGTAAAGCCACAGGATACAAAATCAATGTACAGAAATCTGTTGCATTTCTATACACCAATAAGGAAGCAGCAGAAAGTGAAATTTCAGAAAACAATCCTATTTACAATTGCACCAGAAATAATAAGATATCTAGGAATGAACCTAACCAAAGAGATGAAAGACCTGTACTTTGAAAACTATAAAACACTGATGAAAGAAATTGAAGACGACACAAAGAAATGGAAAGGCATTCCATGATCATAGATTGGAAGAATAAACATTTAAAAATGTCTCTACTACCTAAAGTAGTCTACACATTTACTGCAGTCCCTATCCAAATACCAACAGCATTTTTCACAGAACTAGAACAAGCTGTTCTAAAATTTGTGTGGAACACAAAAGACCCTGAAGAGCCAAAGCCATCTTGAAAAAGAAAAGCAAAGCTGGAGCCATCAATTCTGGACTTCAAGTTACATTACAAAGCTGTAGTAATCAAAACAGTATGGTACTGGTACAAAAATAGACACATATATCAGTGGAACAGAATAGAAAATCCAGAAATAACCTACAATTACAAACATACAATTATATGGTCAATTAATCTTTGACAAAGCAGAAAAGAATATCCAGTGAGAAAAAAGTCTCTTCAACAAATGGTGTTGGGAAAAGTGGACAGCAGTTTGTAAAAGAATGAAACTGGACCATTTTTTACACCATACACAAAAATAAATTCAGAATGGATTAAAGACCTAAATGTGAGAACTGCAACCATAAAAATCCTAGGAGAGAACACACGCAGTAACTTCTTTGACATCAGCC